TGCCGCGACTCCGCCGAGCGACTGTCTGAGGTGCAGCACGCCGTCAACAACGCGCAGCTGCACAATCTGCTGCAGGCGTATGCCGAGGGCGCGGATCTCGCCGCACCGTTGCCATGCTCGGTATACAATCCGTTACACATTCTTAGTACCGACTATGATACTTTTTACACACTCGTACGGTGAACAATTATTTTATTACACACTAGGGAAAAAATAGTTTTTACACATGTTTCACACTCATAGGCTGTATTACTTAGTTTTTTTTCGAAACGAAAACGCTATAGTATTAACCTTCTAATTCCAGGACGGTGGAGAAACGGCACTCCATCTAGCGATATCACGTGAGCTCGGCGATGGGTCTTGCCTACATATAGTAGACTTCCTGATCCAGAATGGCGGGTCCCAGCTGTTAGACAAGGCGACGACGTCTGGCATGACGGCGCTGCACCTGTGCGCCATGTTTGACAGGACGGAGCCCATGAAACTGCTGCTGAAGGCAGGCGCTGACGTCACGCTGAGAGACAACAGCGGCAGGACTCCGCTCATGCTGGCGCGACAGCTGGGACATCTCGCGTGTCAGGAGTTGGTAAGATATTTTCATAGTAGAAGCTTCAGGTTAGAAGAAAGATGCCTTTAACAGACAGACGAGGGAAATTGTTTTTACAGTCAGTCTGTTTTATTCAGATTAATTTAGAAATTACTTAACCATTTTTTTTAAAACAAGAAACCTATTGCTAGGAATTAGGATGTTTTTCTTGTTATTATTCTGTCACGGGGAAAAGTGGTTCTGTATCTAATACAAAACATAATTTTTATCTTTGATATTAAAATGAAATTACTTCCCTACACTCAAAAACACTCTTCCCTACTTCTTTTTAAATTTGATTAAAAACGTGCTCCTACCAAGTATACGCTCGTTGCCTTTACGACTCAATTAAGTAAATGGTAGCTAAGACTTTAATCCGTTGAATCGAGCAATGAGGATTACCAACTTCATTAACACGATAAAGTCTTTTGAGCGCGTATTAAACGTCTTAACCCTGGTGAAAACATCATTTACGAAAATATGCTACTGGATTTTTTTTTATTGAATAAGTATGAGTTTTTACATTTATACATTATACAATTATTTTAATATGTTTATCGTACTATTTGTCTTTTATCGGATTACAAAGTTAAATAGAGGATATTCAGATATAGAAATTATTTGATAAAAGTAATCTATATATTTAAAAATAAATTGCTGTTTGTTAGTCTGACTTGAACTCGAGGACGGCTGAAAAGATTTATTTTATCTTCGTCTTCAAATGTTCGTTTAGGTCTAGAGAAAAGTCTAGCTTAAAAGTTGTGAATTTTTTTTCATTCCACGCGAACGGAGTCGCGGGCGACAACTAGTAATCACAAATCAAAAACAATCATTAGTTTTTTCGTTCTATTTTATTAATCTTACTTGTATTGCCTAACGCGTTTGTGACTGTTTAATTTCAGTTAGAGAGTGTGGACAAAAGAGAGAAGAGTATTTTCGAGAATATTAACATAGATTGGAATCTGTCACACGACGACGGCTCCACGGACTTCTCAGATGATGACACTGTTATAGACGAGAGGGTTAGTTTGTTTGTCATATCTTTCTAAATTAATTATTTAGACGTAGATTTTTGGTTTAATTCGAAATATATTTTTCTCTTGCATTCCTAACAGGATTTATTACTCAGCTATCTATGTTTAACATACTATAGTGCGAGTCCATTTATTTTTATTATAAATTGACTTATTGCCCTGTTAACTGCACTTATTATAATTATTAAACGTAAAACATCGATGACAATTTTCAGCATAACGGTAGTATAACGCCTGAGAAGAAGTGTCCGCGGTCGCGGCCGCCGTCATACGCGGGCGGTGCTGGTGGTGGGGGCGGGGCCGGGGGCGGAGCGGGGGGCGGGGACTCTCCCGTGCTGCGCTCGCGTTCCTCCACATGCGACTCGTTGCACGCCCCGCCCACGCCCACCACGCTGCCGAGGAAACCTAACGTCTGTGAGTCAAACTTTTACTGCCACACTCCAAATCGTTAAGTAGTTTCCAGTGTAGGTTTGTTGTATGAGAAATTGCGACCAACATAAATTAAGGTTTTCTTCTTGAATGAATTGATTTTTTTGGGTGATGAGTTCATATTTTACTTAAAAATATGGTTTTTCAATGTACTGGATGTATGGTTTTATATGTAAAATATGTTTTACAGATAATATCGGGAGTCTAAAGAAGCGCGCGGCGCCGCTGCCGCCCGCGGTGGCGCTGTCACACGCGCCGCACCCCGCGCATGCGCATCCGCCCCTGCCGCGCTCCACGCCCTCGCCATCCGCAGACAGCACGCGCTCTATACACGGTATCTATACCAGCAAAAGACATGAAAATTGTAGTAATTTGTCCAATTATTAGATGGCAAACAAGCAAATGGCTACCTGGATTTGCAGAAATAAACATACATACACAATTTCCGCGTGGCATATCTTTAGTCCACGAAGGAGGGGACGCACAGAAAGAGAATGTATCCATTTCCTATGCGTCCGTCCGTCAACTAAACTTCCTTTTCCTATTGATCCTTATAAGAAACGAGTGAGATAGGAAAGAACACTAAAATAAGACCTTTATTTAGTTATGATATTTTTTAAACTATTAATGTAATATATTTTCTTGTATGCAGGAGGTCTGGTGAAACATCGTCCGCAGCAGCCGCCGCCGACACCGCCGCCCGTGCTGCACAACGGCGCGCATCATCGGGACGAGCCCACCCCGCCCCCAAGAAAGGTAACGCCCGCTTTATTTATGTACACCTCCCACCAGACAACCGAAACTCGTTGTATTTTTATTATTCGAAGTAATAGTTTTTTACAGCTTTGGAAATAATTATTACTTGGTTGTATAGGTTTTTGTTTTTAACAAAATTGTGTTTTTTTAAACGGTTTAGTATTTTGATATTTTAACACAGTCTCGCAAATATTAGGTTTTAGAAATTTCCGATGACAGAATAAAGTAGCTAAATATAATACTAATGATTTGTTTGATATTGTAAAAAGTAGATTTTTTAACAGTAATTTTCGTAAATAATCTTTTTTTTTTTATATTAAAAATGTTTACATAACTCTGTAATTAAATTGTAATAAATAAAGCGACTAACTAAGGAATGAGTACAAAGTTGTATTTGTTTTTGCTTCAGAAGAAAAATAGATTGCACCTGGAAAAGGCTGTCAATGCGAAACTGAAAAGGGTAAAGATTGTCTGACGAACTTCAGTATACTTGCTTACCCTTGTTTTATTTGACTTCCCCCCACTTTACTTGTTTTAATACAGCCGACGCGTTGTCAAGAGAATATACTGCGACCAAATATTTCTTGATACTTGAAAAAAAAAAATTATATCTCTTGACAATAAATCAAATATAATCGTGCTGTTACTTATAAGACATATTGTTGTCTCTACTTTTTTGTAAAGAGAGAAAGAGAGAATAATATGTTTTTTGTAAGAGTACGTAGCGTAAAATATGCGTACAAAGTTTCAACATATTTTATAATATCAATTGCATGCATCTAATAGTTTAGAGCTTAAATATTATCACAGACCAATAACAAACTAGACAATTTATTACTCTATTTTATAGAATTATCATAGTAGCTTAGTTATTTTATAAACAACGTCTTTGGTTGTAATTTAATATATTTTTGTGAATTAGCTCCCGTAAGTAACTCTATTAACAAATAACACCGAGTGATTTGCATGAGTTTTGAAGTGATTTAAACACAATTGTACATAGACTGTAACGAATAATTATATTTCTTTTTAATTCATATGTCATTCCAATGTAAAGTGATGCATCGAATTAAGATTAATTAATAGTTCTGTAGTTCTTTTCTAAAGTAATATTATTGATATTTTATTAGATTTATAGCATTTACAGCATAGAAATAACTATTTAATTGAAATTTAGATATTTAGTGACAGGAATATTTTTTTAAAGCTTTCAGATTAGTTGAGTAATCTAGCTTTACTTTCAGAATCTCAATATCGTTTACCATCGTGCCACTTCCCTCTTCACAATTCCGTCTTTAATCCAACTTGGGCAGAAAAGTTGTAACATTAGCTGCCTGTGTCTTAATGGTTCTTTACGTGAAAAAAAAATGAGTTGTAGGTATAGTGTGTGACTTGTGTGTGTGTTGCAGGATTGTTCTAGTCAGGACTCATCTCTGGAGCTGTGCGACGTGTCGGATGTGTGCGGGGGCGGGGTCGGGGGCGGGGATGGGCGTGTCGTGGGGCTGGGGGCGGGGCGCGCGCGGCGCAGCGACAGTCGCTCGCTAGATGTCTCTGATGCATCCAGTGTGCACTCGCGCTCCCCATCCACATCCATTACAATGGTCAGTATGGAAAAACTACATTACTTACATACTCCACTGGCGCAGGGCCCAAAGTGGGTCTTGGCCTCCGAAATAAGAGATCGCAAAAGTCGTTTTTCGTAGTATAATAATATTTCATTAAACTATATGTAAATCGCGTGACAATGCAATGATAAAAGCTCGTTTTTATTTTTTTATTTTCTAGTACTTTGAAATCGTAATCTTACTTCTTGCTAATATTATAAATGCGAAATAAAATTAAATTTGGAAGAGATGTAGAACATATAGTCAACTAATTATTATTTTTTTAAATATTTTCGGACGGAGTCGCGTGCGACAGGTAGTGTAATATGTAGTTATCGATTATAGATGGGCGGTGGCATGCGTCGTTGCCGTGCGCTGTACGACTGCTCTGCGGACAACGAGGACGAGCTGTCGTTCCGGGAGGGCGAGGTGATCGTGGTCATCAACGAGCGCACGGAAGACGACGACTGGATGGAGGGCCAGGTGGAGGGCACGGCGCGACGCGGCATGTTCCCCGTCTCTTTCGTACACATGCTGCCGGACTAGGCCGCGACAAGGACGGACAGATCTAGCGCACAATGTGGTCAGTAAAGTGTTCATAGAACTATGTATGGCTTATCTCGTACGAAGGTAATGTTCGGATTAGATTTTAGTAGTCGGAGTTTTAGTATTAACTTCCAAAGAAACACTATCTACTATCTCCTTCGAATTTTTAATATAATAACGATTTTATATGCCGTAGCTGGAATTATAAAAGCTACTAAAAGGAATTGCAGTTAACTTCAAAGCTCACTTGGCCTAAAGCTTTCGGAATTCATTTATGAGCTTATTTACTCTAGCATTGCAACATGTTCTTAAACTTGCTCACTTTTGCATGACATTTTTATGTAAACAAATATCTACATAGTTTTTTTTTACTATTTGACGAAATACAAACAGTATTAACTGGTCCAAATTGAGTAAAAATCACAATATGACCGTAGTAATAGTTATAAAAAATATTTTTATTAAATATTATTGTATTATTAACAATTTTATTTGCATTGTGCAAAATTACAGGCAATTTATTTGATTTGTTCATATAAGTCATGCTAAATAACGTATAGTTACGTTTAGAATCGATACAAGAGATTTGTTGTCGTGTTATTATTGCACTGGTTGATATAGACTTTACTGTTATCACAAAAACAGGGCCTTTGTTATACCGTAGGATTCCACTGCCGTGGTATAATAGTTGTCAAATATCTTATAGGCTTTTAACTTCGCTCGAGTCACTGCATAGAACACAATTTTAAATATAGCGGCGGGAAAGTATTGCGCAGCGCTATGACTTTGAGCCGCCGACATATTTGGAAAGAACTATACTAGCATTGATATATATTGTTATCCCTTTCATTTTCTTTGACAAAACAGAGAGAACAATATATTCGTCTGTGTATCACGGCAGTGAAAGTCTACATGTTGGCGACTGTCAATAGCACAAGTGAAGTGATTATTGTTTTTATACAAGGATTTTAATACTCATCAATTTTATCCACACCAATTTTGGAACATCATTTTCTTGTTGACAATTTTAAATGTTGTAATGATTGGTAGCGTTTTCAATATATGTTGTAAATCTTTTGGCGAGAGTTTTCAGATATATTTACTTTCAATGGTATTTGTAAGTTAATTTAAGAATAAATGTTTTAGTAAAGTTACTTGCAAATCAATTTCGGTCTCAGAAACTCACGGTTAGTTGTTCAGTGCAATATAGATTGGGAGAGACAAGAGTAGACTTGTTTTGAAAACTCTCGCCAAATGGATTATGGCTTTGTTGACACTGAGTTTGGCCAGTAGTTCCGTCCCTTTCTGGGTACATACTGGGATATATTGATTTCATATGTTTATAGTTTTGATATGAATTTATTTTTAAAACGCACGCGGAATTCGAAACACAGTATGTGTACAATTTCTTGAAGAAAAAAAAACGCTAGGCGTATAAAAGCAAACACGCTTCGGCTTAAAAAATAAAAATTTTGACTAAAGCATATTTGCTTTTATACTCCTCTCTTATAAATTAACAATTCTTTCTTAGTAGATGTTTGTCATGGCTTAGCGGTGAATCTGGCTCAATTATTTGGAGAAAAAATATGTCAAAAATGATAAGGTTTATTGGAATAAAAAGAATTTGGAAATAAAATTTATTAAAGTATGTTCACAAAGTGATCGTGAAGACAGCGGTGTACAGTCAGCGTCAGATGAAAGCATGCAAAATATAATAAGACACACAAAAATTTGACAACGCTTTCACGCCAAAATAAGTAACTAATTAAGAAATTATTCAAAATCAAAATTAATTATGAAGTTATTATTATTTTTGGACATAAAAAAATACTAAGATTGTAATAATTATTTATTTTATTTGACGCTGACTGTACAAGTCTGTGCAGCTCATTTAATTTGCCAAAAAAATATATGTGATCTGTAGAGAAAGATATATTATATTCGCGACATAGTATCGGACCAGTGACCGTGTTGTTGTCTTGTTCTCGTAGTCGGTATCGCCGTGTCTTAGATTGTTGGTACGTTTGACGCTAGCCGAGAGTCACCTTTGACTGCGCACAGCTGCGGATATCTTCATATGAATGTTGAGGTTGAATTGGCGGGAACCTTAACCCGAGTACAGTAAGCGACTACAAATATTGCACATAGATCTTCAGAAAGAGACATCAGATTTGTATAGCGTGGTCTCTGTCGCACACGACTGATTTTTACTCACTGACCTTTATAAATGGACTGGCTATACGACGTGGTTTTTTGTGCGTATTTGATTTTCGCCATATTGATTTAGATTCGAACTAATAACATAGATAGAATTAACTGTCACGTAACATTAGCAGGGGCGTTTAAATCTGAACGTAGTAAAAGCTGTTATTTTCAAGCCTTCGCCTATCCAATTATATAGGATCAGTGTTTTTACTGCATTGTGCGATATGGGTGATGTTCTATTAATCAGTATTCTCTTTTTAAAAATCAATTTGTTTTGCTTATAGACGCTTGCTGTACTATCTCTAGTTTTTGTAACATGGACCAAAGATATTTGTATTGTAATTATCCCCAAAAATATGAAAATCTGCAGCTTTAGATAATATTTATTTATGTAGCGGTCTGAATTGATCGTATACGTGGTCCAAGGTCGCTCTCGGGCGAGCGTTTGAATCTTGTTATAAATGTTAAATTTTATCACTTTCACAATTTTAAATAGTAGAATAACTTCGTACGCAATAATCTTAGCGGAATAGCAATAGCGTTGAAGTCAGTAGATCGAAGAATTTCTTGTAATTATATTGTGTCGGTTACACATAGTCGAGGTATAATGTGATTCATATTACAACGTCAAGAACATTCCCTTTACTTGTAATTGAGTTTTTGTGTATATTAAGATTCCTTTGTATTCATAGATAATAAGTAATGCCTACGTATGTTATAGTTACCTATATTAACGCGCGCGTTGCCATAATTTAGTATTAACTGGAAGTAATTAAAAAAAAAATGCTTTCAGTATTCACAACTAGCCATTTACGTTCCCTTTGTAATGTTGAAAACCATAAACAATTATTTTTTATATTTTTGCGTTAAGTTACTAAAAATATATTAATTTGTAAATAAATGATTTTATCTGTTGTAATATAATTTAATTTATTTTGAATTAAGGAAAAGTGCGATAAAAATTTTATTATCACAAACTTTCTAATTCAAACTTCCATATTGAAATCATTTTGTATTTATTGAACGTTTTAATTTATGATAAAATGTGATGATAATATTTTAATGCCATTTTAGTTGTCAGTATGTCATATATTAAGATTGTATGTAACCAAATGAAGCTAATGAGAGTAAGATGTTTTATTCTGTATTGTAGTATATCTGAAAATATGGAGTTGTAGTTGAAAAAAATTTTTCTATTGTGTATTATCTGAATGAAAATCTGTATGAATTTATTAATACATCAATTCGATGTCTTAATTCAATTTGTTTCATTTTTTCCCATATAATAAACATAAATTTATTTATAATAGCAACCCTGGCAAAAGTCTAGTTAGGGTACCTAAAAGCAGTCATTTGGAGTCACTCGGAATTAATGGCCAAAATGACGCTTTTCTGCTTTTCAAGAAAATCAAGAAGAAAGATTGGAAAAAGAGAGGAAATGCATTCAAAGTTCTAGGTCACGTCTGCGTACTGCAGTTGACGATAACATTAACCAGTCTAATTTTGATATATATGGTTAGGAAAGAAGTAGAATTTCGATAATGAGAGACGTATAAAATTACAAAAATACCGTTAAAGTTGAATGATAATAAAGTTCTTCGGAAAAATACGATTTCAAAAATTAAAAAAAGTTAGCCATAGTGAACCATGTTTATGGTTTGTTTTGATGTCAATGTCAATTGATTTTGACAGTTGTCATTGTCTGTTTCTTATCAGCTGAGTGTCATTTTCATTTTCGTATTTTATTTGATTCGATTATTTTGTAATTAATTTTACGTTTTACAGTTTATTAAATAGAGGTTTTTGAGTTATTAGTTAGTTATATGTTTTGTATTGATTTGTCACAGTGTACATATTGTTACATTTTAAAAATTATCTAAAGTAATTAAGAGAATCGCGCATATCATATGGATATTAAGCAAATAAATAACTCCTTCTATCACATACGTCTTATCATTTAAAAAACAACATATTTTTAATAAAGATAGATAATTGCATTGAAGGTTATTGATAACAACAGTAAATAAATTGATCAATTTACATAGTTTGACATACGTATCTGTTAAATGTAAATATTTTAACTACTTTTAAATTAAAATGTCTTCCCGTAAAAGAGTGTTTGATTTACTAAGAACAATAAATGTTGCATCGTAAGTACTTTTGTCGCTTATTAAGTACAATTTGAACTTTTCTAATTCATTATTTACACTAAAACATTATGATTACACAATAGGATGTGTCCAGTCTGAGGTCAACAGTTATTATTAAACTTTGCTATGTCAAGGTTTCGGTGATATAATATTTCGAAGTTTTAGAGTTATAAAAAATATTTATTGCATTATATTCTTTGCATATATTGAAGAAAGTGCTACTACTTAATAATTTTTGTACATACATTTTTGGTATCATCCTACTTATAAATGTTTTAATAATTCCCACAAGTAATGAAACCTCATAAAACACTATGAGACCAGGCATATGTAAAATCTATGGCAGTACCACCTACAAAGTTCAGGAGGCACATATCAGTTTGCATGTTGGTTTATGCAAACTGTGCATTCTCTAGAGAAATGATTAACTAGTCATTTTATTACAAATTAATTATTAAATATGTATATAATGTTTAAAGGAACTCTAAGCCTAGAATTTTTGAGGTACTATAAATCCCAGAAAAGATTTTCATTAGCCACATTTATTCAAATTATAAGATTTAGGACAGCTATTAAATCTATAAATGTAGTGTAAACATTAATATACAATAAAATTAAAACTTGCAACAACCACTTGGTTGTTCTCCATATTGACTTATATATTGTTAAACATAGGTTATGTTGTTTAAAATCTGAGGAAATTATCAGTATTAAGTATAAACAGTGCACAGAATTAAATCTTCAAACATAGGAATTGTAAAGAGACAAAAGATTTTCTAAGGCAAAATAAAAATTCGTCATACTCTGAGAGTGGATATTTACCTACTTCACATTATTTACTTTTTGCTCTTACTTTTATTAGTTGTCAATGTCCAGCGCACGGCTACCGAGGGAATGTTCAAGTTTCAAACACTACTCCTAGTAAGGATTATGCTTTTGAGGTAAGGCTGTTCTCACATCGAGGATTGCATGCATTACCGAGATTCTTTAATAATTTCGTTACATCAGTAAAAAATAAAAAACAATACATTTCAGATAAAATGTTCGACTGTACGCTATGGGTTAGGTGTGACTCAGGAAGTTGGGATGGACT